CCGAGGAATGGCGGGCCGTCCTAGCAAAGAGCAGAATCAAGGCCTGAAATTGCTGCGTTCCCATCTCTGAAGAACCGCCAGGAGCCGGAGGTGATGTGACGCCCAGCCCCCTACGCAGAGCCAGGGCGTGTGAGGGGAAGCCTCAGGGAACAGCTTTTAGCTTTGAATGACGGAGACCCTTCAGAGCAGCAGCAGAATCATCAAACAAGAGTTGGAAGCTACAGCGATCTCCCATCCAGCCCTCTCGCTGGAGCGAGACCCAGGCAGGCGCCAGGCCCTGCCCAGGGCTCCTCTCAGAGCGAATGGCAAAGCTGAGATGAGCTCCAAGTGTCGGTCTCCCAGTCAGAGGTCTTTCCGTCTGAATTTAGGAGGGTTTGTGGGGGGAGGGGATGTCCTCGAATGGAGTAATCGTATAGCATCTTGATTTTCACTGAGCCAGGAGCAAGATTATCTTTTGTTTTAAACCTCAGAGTCATACACTGAGTGTTTGTTTGCGAGAACGGTGACACCTTAAAGTATGCACACAGCTTTCTCAGTTCAGGGGTAGAGCCAGTTGGAGACCTGTAGGCATTTGGGGCTGAGGAGAGTAGAGCCCCTGTAGCAGGATGTGGGGACCCAGCCCAGCAGGAGGTCAGCGACCCTACAACTGGTCCTCCTGCTGGGGCTGGCTGCTGCAGGACAGGCGGAAGGAAGCGTCGCCTTGTGATTGCAGCCATTCCCCGGCCACCTCGTGGGTGCTCTCAGGCCCCTGGCCAGTGAGTATTTTCACACTGGACTTCTTCTTAGCACTCTAATTTTCACCAGTGGGACCTACCATCCAAATCCGAGGTTTGAAGTGGTAGACTTTAAAAGACAGCACTCCTTGTTTGCCCACAGCACGGAACTAGTGCCGTTCTGCAGGAAAGGGGGCCCGTGGTTTCTCAGTATTTTTAGCCTCTGAGAACAGAAAGTGTCGCCTGAAGAGCCCTCAGCATAATCCGGTGGTTCTCACCTCCCTCATGCATTAGGGTCCACTTAGGGGGCTCTTAAAAATGCTGCCACCCAGGATCCACCCTCAGGGGTTCTGATATCACAGGTCCACACCAGGACCAGTCATCTCTATTTTCTAGAAGTTCCCCAGGTCACCCTGATGCCTGGCCAGGGCTGAGAGCCACTGGAGTCCCTGTGGTGCAGCCTGCAGATGGCGAGAGACTGAGTCCCAGAGACAGAGAATGATCTGTCCGGGGCCACCCAGTGAGTCAGTAACGACCTGCAGCAGAGCGCATGGGGCAGGGCAGTCCGCGGTGACAGTCCCAGTGCTGCAGCCCTTCTCCCTCTGCCCGACACCCCCACCTCCCAACCCCCAGTGGAGCTTTCTGTCTGCCTACAAATCCCGCAGTCCACAGTCCGTGGGCCAGTCTGTATGCAAGTGTGTGGTTAGCATTGTTTGTACAGTGGAGTTAGCAAGCAGCACAAGAGTTAGAAGTTGGAGGTGCCAGGAGCCTATCACAGTCGCCACACCCGGGGCCGTGGTGGATGGAAGAACACGGGGAACACCGTTCTTGTGCCTTCAGACCTGGGAGGGGCTCTGGGCAGGGTGTAAGGGGTGAGACTCTACGCCACCCGGATATCAGAAGCAGGACTTCTGCTCGGAAACGTACCTGCTGGCAGGAGTCACAGGCCTGGGCACACCTGGGGCATTGCTCCAACATGAGCAGCTGTCACCCAGTGCCCTGAGCTCCCAGAAAATGAGGTGCTGGACGGGGAGGAGCAGTGCTCTGGGAAGACTTCCTGGAAGAGGTGGATAAAGTTTGGACGTGTTGGTTTGGTAGAGGGAGGAAAAGGCCCCCTTCCGAGCAGAGGGACCATTGTGGGGAACCAATAGCAGAAAGAAAACACGGGGAGTGTTTGGGGACCTAGCAAGTAGTCCACGGTGACTTTTATCATGACTCAAATAACCCTAATTTATTGAACACTTACTATTAGTTAGGCCCAAGCCAGAAATTGCCTTTGCTTTCCTCTCTTACTCCCATAGCCCCCACCCTGAAAGTTACAGCCACCTGCTCACAGGGTGCAAGCTGAGAGGGAAATACTGTCCGCACGTGGGAATAACGTTTACCTCCCTGGCAGGGCTGGGCGGGGCTGCAGTCACTACACTGCAAGGTCAGAGATAATGAATTTTTCTTAATCTCTGTGTCTCCTGACTCCAGGACAGATGTCCAAGGCCTCCTCAGTCAAGGATGAGGAAATAACCTCATCTTCCACCACCTACACTGATACTTTTGAGGGGCTATTTATTATGAAATATCTCAGGCTGGGCCTGGCGTGCAGTCGGCACTCAGTAAACGTGGGCTGAGTGACCGGCAGCCCTGCTCGGTATGGGCGGGGAACGTGCTCTGCATTCAGAACTACGAGACCCCAGTTCAGGTGCCCACTTGGTTGGTGCCCAGCACATGGCCCCGAGCACGCACTTAACCCTTGCGAGGCTCCTCCCTCATCTACAGACTGGGGTGAATTATACCCGCCTCACAGTTTGCTATGAGCCCTTAAATGCAAGGTGTGAAGTGCCTGTGAGCCTCCGGGCACCGCCCCCAGGTAGCAATTATGGTGATTATGGTCATGGTGGAAAGCCGAGTATCATTTTGGTGCCATGGGACCTACGGCCGGGCCTGTGAGTCAGAGGGGTGGGCTATGTGGCTGGGGGCAAGGCTGGGGGCCAGCCACACCACTTCCTGGCTCCGATGATTTATTCCGATCAGCCTGAATATTTCATGCGCTGCCTCCCCACACCAAATAAATAAATCAGGGCCTCCCGTTCAGGGTGGCAGTGTGGGGAACAGAAGCTATCAAGACTGAGACTTCAAAAAGGCCCAAGCCAGGATGCTGGAACTCCCAGCAGGGTCTGCTAATGTGACATTTAGGGGCTGGGAGACCCAGGTAAGTGACAGCTGCCAGCACAGTATGATTCCCCCCTTTTGTTGGGGAGACCTTTGCTGGAGAAGGAAGTGACTTTTACAGCCCTGCTTTCCATCCCACTGTCAGAGGAATGCAGGCAGAAGGGTGGCCAGCCAATGGGATTCCTGGTTCCATTTCCCAAATGTTATTAAGAGGCCAGCAGGGCACTTGCATTTCACTTAGAGCCAGAGCCAAGCAGGCAGTCCCTCTGGGTGCATGTTGCTTTATTACCTCTGGGCATTTGGAGGACCAGGGTCTGCAGCTCTGGGGACCCGCCTGCCCTGTGGATGGGCATTCCTCTCTGTAATTAATACACTCAGGAGGCACAGGGGCCTGTGGAGTGGTCAGCTCCACTTGGAACCGTCACCTCTCAGGGATCCCATCCAGGTAGCCCCATGTCAAGAAAGAGTCCTCGCTTTGAACCTGGACTTGGCTCTTAGTGTTGGTAGGACCCTGGGCAAAGCCACAACCTGCCCAAGCCTCGGTTTTCTCATCTGTAAAGTGGAACTGAAGCCACCTACTCCATTTAACTGTGAGAACTGGAAAATAGTGTAGAAAATCCCTAGCCTGGGTCCAGGTGCACCGTGGGGCTCCGTGAATCCCCTCAATCCCTCCTTGCCCACTCGCCCCCTACCCCCTGTCAAAGCCTGCTCTGCCCTGGGGGCTTTTTTCTCTGCTCCCACACTTGTTCCCGTTGGTCCTCTGCCTCTAACGCCACCTCTCCTTGGATCTGCTTTGCCTGTGGTCACCAATATCCCCCAGATGCCAAATCCATTGACCCCCTGCTCTAGGGGCTTATCATTCCTGCTTCTCGGCGGTATGTTGCATTGCTGGCCAGCTCCACGGTGAAATTGTCCCTTTCCTTCTACAATGCCCACTCTGCTGGTGTCCTGGCCACTTCTTCCCAGTGTCCCCCAGAGGCGGGCGCTCTCCAGGAGTATGTCTTTGGTCCTCTTCACTTCTCACTCAGCCCTGTCCGTGGCAGTGCCCTCACTGCCCTCTGCTCCAACTCCCAGCTGCATGCTGATGGCCCCACGTCCCTCTCCACAGCCCAGATGATCCATGGGTGCCTCAGGCTCAGCACGTTCAAACGGGAACTTACCATCTTTCTGCATTAGTGCTCTCCTCTTGGTCTCTCCACTTGGGGAATGGCATCCGGGCCCCCCAGGCACCCACTTCACTCCCCTGCTCCCTACCTTTCCCACCCACTGATCACCCAGTTGTCCAGATTTTCCCTGGGAAAAAAGAAACCAATGGCAGATCTAATTACTAGTCTCCATTCCTCCTGCCACCACCCTGGTTCAGAATAGTTTCTGGGATGAAGGGAAATTCAAGTGTATCACCTGATCTAAAAACACACCTGCACACAAGTACATGTGCAGGAAACTGCACCCAGCATGGCAGCAGAGCAGTGTGTCCTCTGAAGATGCCAGTGCTGCCTCGGGATGCATCAAGAGAGACAAGACGTGCAGAACGGAGGAGGGGATGGTCTCCTCTACATGCTGCTGACCAGCTCACACCGGAAGGGCACCGGTCAGCCCTGGGTCTACACTTCATCAGGCAGACAGAGACACTGTGGAGTGTGGCCCAAGGAAGGCCTGGGTGGGGTGGGAAGCAGAAATGATGTTTAGTAAGGGGGTGGGGAGCTAGTGTCAGGGAGTGATCTGTCTTTGTCTTCAAGCTCTAGGGCTGTCCTGGGGCAGAGGGAGCAGAGGCAGTCTGTGTGGTCCCAGAGGGCAGAGTTAGATGGCAGGGGAATGTTGCTGAAAGGCCATTCAGCTCAGTGGCCAGGAAGGACTGGGTGACGGGCAGAGAATCCAGGTATGGGGGAGTGGGCTCCCCATCTGTACACACACGGCAAAGGACAGACAACCAGCTGACAAGACAGAGTGAGAGAGTGTTCCTTCCAGTCCAGGTCAGGTCAGAGGTTTTGTGATGCTACCTGGGCACAGGAAAGGCCTGCCAGAATATGGCCAGGGCCTGTGGGGAGAGCCGGAGCCGGGGAGGGGCGCCCAGACAAACACGGGGCTCGGGTCTGACCAGCCACTCTCTGTTGCTCCCCACAGACAGCAGGGAGGTGAAGGTGGGGGAGTACAACGCTGTGGCCGACTCACTGGAGATCATCAACGACACCATTAGGTTCCAAGGTAAGGCAGGCGGGCTTCTCAGAGGAGGGCTCTGCTCAGTTGCTCCCACGCTTGGATCTTATCTGAGGGCTGAGGATAAGCTCGAAGTCCCTGGTGTTGTGGGGAGGAGGGAGCATCCTCTTCGCTCAGCACATGCACTCACTCACTGAGCACAGGGTCCGCATCGTTCACCTGGGATCCCAGCTCCTGGGATGGACCACTGGGGTTTGTATGTGTGCTGGCTGTCGCCGAGGCATCTGTGTTAAACCAGAGGACGGCCTGGAGTCATTCTCTTTAAACATGGTCCAGCTAAATCTAGCTCGGTCTCTTCCCCTGGGAGAGGACTTGGTTGGGTTGGTAATAAGGCCTCTCTACATGCTACTCTTCCTGCTGGAGATTCTTCAGCTGAAGAACTCCTCAGCTTCTAGAACCAGATCAAATAACACCTCTTCTGTGCAGGCTTCCCTGATTGCCCCCAAATGGGCTAATGGCTCCCTTCTCTTGGCTTTCACAGTTTTTGGGGGGGTTTGTCTCTACCTTTACCATGGCCACTGTCACTTTGTATTGAAATTTCCAGATTGTTGGACCATGAGCTTTCAGACTGGATCCTGTTTAGTTTTAAATTCCAGGCACCAGCCAGGGTCTGGCACATGTTGGATAATCGGTGATATTTTGGGAAAAAATGAATACATGGTTGATCAAGTGAGCAGATGGGTCAGTGGGTGAACATATGAGTCACTGAAGTAGTGTGTGGATGGAGGGATGAACGAGCGGATGGATGGAGGGATGGGTGGATGGGCTTCACCAGTCTTAACCCCCTCGAGCCCATTTTGCCCCCACAGTCGTTCCTTCGCCATCATGTCACGCTGACAATGCCCCACCTCTGCTCAGAGCCCTTCTGGTGCCCTTTGCTCTCAACAAGGGGCCTCACCCCCAAGGCCTCCATGAAGGGACCCTCCTCACTCCTCCGCCTTCCCTTTCAGATCTCCCAAACCAAACCGCTTACGGTTCCTCCGATGTGCCCAAACGCCACCCTGCCTTTGCCTCTGCCGGGCTCCCTGCCCAGAACACCCTCTCCTCCTTGTTTTCCTGGTGAACAACCAACTGCTCATCGTCCTTTCTGTAGCCCCTGCTGACTCCGTCAGGCCGAACTACACCCTGCTTCCTGCTTCCCGCTCAGGCCTCCCGGTGCCTGGTAGTATCAGCCACCTAGAGACTGGCATCGGAGGCAGATTACATGGTGTTAGATGGAGCACAGGCTTTGGAGTTAGGCAGATCTGGGTTCAACTCCTGCCAGCTTTGCCACTTAATGGGCTATAAAAGCCATTTAACACCTAGAACACTGTTGCCAACCCCCACTCCGCCCACTGGATGGGAATCATCTTTTCTACCCAGGAGATTGTTGGGTGGATCAACTGAGAAAAACCCCTATGAAGTGCTTAGCCCATAGTAAGCATTCAGTGAATGTTATTGCTTGTTATTGCCTTTTTCTTGGTACGTGTAAGTTCCTTGAGGACAGGGACTGTGTCTTGTTTATCTTCAAGTTTCTGGTACCCAGCACTTGCCCGGCGGTGGCAGGTGGGTATTAATGATATTGACTGTCATGAATGGTGATGAATGAAGGAGCAGTGAAAGGTGAAGGACTGGCAAAAGTGGATGAATAATGAGTGGATGGACCAAATGAGGTGCAAGAAAGGAAACTCAGGGCCACTGCTGTCGCCAGCACTTCTGACAAGTCATAACCGTTTGGCCTCCATGACGTCTTAGTTGAGATGCACCCTGGGGAAGCACCCTCTCCCTGGAAGGGAAGGTCGTGTGGGGAGGAGGAGCTGTTGTCAACTTTCTGAAGTTGTTTGTACACAAACAACTACCGGTCATGGTCATCATGCAGCATTTGATCCAAACCTCACCCCCTTTCTTAGCATCCGGAGAAGGTTTTTTCTCCAGCCAAGAGCCGATGGGCACCCCCAGGATGGCTCTGGTGTTTGGGAGCCAGAAGTCACCTGAGCTGGCCTCATGCAGCCCAGAGGACAGGTGGGCGGAGGGAGGAGGAAGTGGGGGGTGGGGAGGAAGTTTCCAAATGTTGAGCTGTCACTGGAAGCTACAAATGGGGCTACGTCTGTCACCTCGTGTCTGCTTTTGCTCTGACTTTTTAGTCCTTGAAGCCACCCCTTATAAAAACCTCTTTACTTGGAACTGCTCAAAGCTTTACATTCACCATGCCAGCAGGTTTCTAGCTACTTTCGAACCTGGCAACTTCCCTAGACTGTCGAGATGGTTCAAATGCCTCTTATCTGCTGGATGTTTCCAAACACATTTGAACTTGTTAGCCGAGTTTTTTAAACACAGATGTTCGGGAGAGCTCTCAACCCCTGCAGCAACATCTGCCCCTCCTCCACCTTTCTCCTGGGAAGAGAGGCATGAGGAGGCTGGCACCCCTGGCACGGCCTGGGTGGGGGCGGTCATCGTGATCCCGGAGGGGCTCCTCGGGGCTCCCAGGTTCAGCCAGGCCCCGGCACCTGGCTGGCTCCACACAGGCCTGCTGGAGGGAAAGGTCCCAACATGTCACAGTTCTTCTACAGCAGAAACCTGACCTGAAACAGCAGCTGAGAAAGAGGATTTGCAAGAAGTGGAGTAGGCGTGGGGAGAGACCCTCTGTCCGCCCAGGCCACCCTGTACCAGGTAAAACTGGAACAGGACAGTTGTGCCGGCTCCTATACAGATGAGTGTGCCCTGCGTCCCTTGGGGCTCCCCAGGTCCCCGGTGCCCTTGAAGAATGAGCAGGGACCGTCTGCAGTCACACAGTGACGCAGAACCCCACAGCTTCAGTCCGGCCCTGGCACGGCAGGGAGGGAAGGGCATGCGGGTAGCTTCTGCCCCACCAGTTAGCAAGTCCTATGAAAATGGGAAATCAGAGAGAGCTGTTATGACAATGTCCTTGAGGCAGAGAATCCGCAGCCAGAGCACACACACATCTCCGAGGAATTGGCAGGCAGGGCGTCCGCCTGTTGAGGGATGGTCGTTGTCATGTGTTGGCACAGAGTCCTTGAAGCCAAAGCCAAGTTCCTCACCCGCAGCGACACCCAGGTACCCACTCCGGCACCCAGCCCTGCCCCTGCTGAGCTACTTGCTACCTTTGGGGATAAATGGCAATGGTTTTTCAACAGGATAATTAGACCAAATCAAATTCTAGTCTTCTAATGGCTATTAAATGCATCACAAACCCTTTATTGATTCTCTCTAGGGAAAGAAAGAAGTCCTGGCTGAGGCTCCCTGCTGGGCAGGCTGGCCGACCACCAGCACTCGCTCACCCAGTAGACGCACCCCACACAGAGTTGGGGCACGGGCAGCAGGGGAGGGGACGTCAGGGAATCAAGGCCAAGTGGCTCCCGGGCACTGACCTCACTGGACCGAGCTGATGCCTTTTTGGGTTTTTTTGTCTTCTAGGATCCGAACCCCCAAAAGACAAGACTATCATCCTGGAGCAGCTCCGGAAGATCTCCCTACCTCTCTACAGCATCCTCTCCGCCCTCACCATCCTGGGGATGATCATGGCCAGCGCTTTTCTCTTTTTCAACATCAAGAACCGGAACCAGAAGTAAGTCACTCATGCCCTCCTCTTGGACCATGCCTTCTGGAGTAAAAAACCTCACAGACAAGGTATAGAATCATGTGGCAGATTCTCCAGGGGCACAGAAGACCTTGGGGCAGTTTTCTAACACATACCGCTCAGTTGCTGGAGTGTTATTAGATATTTCCCAAGTGTGCGTGTAAGCTCACACGCATGCACACACATGCACACATGGAGGCAGGGCTGCTCACTGCACAGGAGCCCCTGGTCAGGTGGGTTAGGGGGAGGCGGGGTTGAATGAGACAGAAGGATATAGGTCCAGAGGCCTTCTCAGTGTGTTGGCTCTGCTCGTGTAGTTGGTGGTGCCCCGGGAGGAGAAAGCTACAGGACAGCACCCCCCAATGTCTTTGCCCAGCCCCTGCATTTTAGGGAGCGCTGCCAGCGGGGATCACTGAGTCCGGGGCCCAGCACTTCCCACTGGGTACAGCTCATTGCAGTCCAGGAAGCCCTCCCCGGACCACGGAGGAGATCTCGCACTGGAGCTCAGGGACCAGGGCCCTCGTCCACGGCCACACTGGTGGCAGAATCCGTCCCCTTGGTTCCAGGTCTTGATTTCATTTCCGTCACACTTGCCCTTCACTCTCCCAAGGAGAGCAGCTCTCTGTCTGAGTTATTCCGGTCAGTTGTCAGGGGTCAGCTGTCGATGGAACAGGCCACCACCGCAGGTGGTGCTGGTGTTTACCAAGCCCAGTAAATTTTCTGTGATTTCCCCAGCAAATCCCTGATCCCAGCCCCCCGCCTGGTTGAGGGAGAGGCCCAGCAGAGACTTAGAGAGGGGCCTTCATGGTCCCAGGCTCAGTGCCCACCCGGGGGCAGCACGGCTCTGCCATCGTGCCCAGAAGCCTCGCCGCGGGGCCTCCAGGGCTGCCAGCAGCGAGCCCGATTCCAGGACAACAGCTGCTTCCCTTCTCTCTGTAAAGAAGGAAGCACCAAGGTCTAGACTGTCTTTGCTCTTGTTTTTGTGGCAGGGTGTGGGCAGGGGTGCAGTTTGGTAGCTACTGCTTAGGCCAGACCTGTTTCCTAAAGAACAAAAAAGAGTTTTATTCACCTGTTGTTTAATTTTATTTATCACCAATAGCACATGTACTACCACCAAAAAAATGTATATATATTGAAGCAACTTTTGTCTACTCCCTACAAACCTTAAATGATGAGCATTTGGCAAAAGGCCTGGGCACATAGGTCTCAACATTAGATTCCCTTCCTACAAGGTTCAAGAATGCCTGTCATAGCCATGAGTTGCCCCTGTCCTAAGTCTGAATGCCTTTAATTCCTTAACTACTCATCTCAGCCTCCTGGGGAAAATTTTCATTACTCTTTCCAGTATGCTGGCATCTGTGAATTTTTGACTGGCTTTGCAAATTTAAACCCCCCTCACTTCCATCTTCCTAAATGCTACTTATTCATTAAGGCCCCCTCCTCCAGGGAGGCTGCCGAACTCCTGGCCTCTCCTCTCCTCGGCTCCCTGAGGTGATGAGAACGAAAGGGCCTCAGCAGGTCATGATTTGCAAAAGGACCCTCAGGGACCCAGTCTCGTCTCAGCTTCACAGGTGTCCCAGTCCGTGCAATCAGTGCTGTTAGAGGTGAGGAAGCTCAGCCATCAATCACCTTGCCAGCACGTGCCTCTGGCAGCTGCAGGGGCCTTGCGCTGGGCCCATCACTCCCATCTCGAAAGGCCAAGTAAATGGTCCACAATTTACAGCAGGCTTTTTTCTCTCTTTACCACTTTGATATCACATTACACTCTTTGAATGTGGAAGGATTAGTAAAAGTACATAATGCAAAGAAAAATGTTCAGGGAATAACTGACCATAATTACAACCTGCAAAAGAACACCTGAATCATGGGGCACCTGAAAACCCAAGACGTTCCGAGCGGATCGTGTGTGGGGAGCCAGCTGATGGTTTAACCCAGTCCTGGCTTGCTGGGCAGCTGGGGGCCACAGCAGAATTTGTGATGGGAGAGAGAGAGAGAGAGTGGAATTTGGGAGTGTAAAAACTGCCCCCCACAGCAGACAGCGGGGGTGGGGGTTAAGGACCCCATTGTCCACCTCCATCACCTGGTGACTGGGAGAGGTGTGTTACCCACATGCGTGGCCCTGTTTGTGCACAGAACAGCATGAGCTTCGGGCAGGCGACGTGGATGGCCACTCGCCACAATTCCTGAGCAGACCTGAATTCTCACCAGGAGACCTCCCAGACCTGATCTGCTCAGCACCCGGGAGTGTGGTGGGGCCCTCCTCCCTCTCACTGCTGCCAGGTGCTGAATGTGAATGCAGAATTCTCTGGATTTGGCACATCTTCCCAGCCCTGGCCACAGAAACCTGTTGGCTGAACGTTCTTGTGTAAACTAAAAACAAGTGGTTGAAGAAGCTGATGTTACAAGCTGTCCCTAGATAAGTGGCAGGAAAATCAACAGCTGGGAATTGATAGCTGTCCGGGGTCCTTCTGTGTGGGGGAAACAGCCCCCAGTGGGTGGCACAATCTTGGGGAGAGGGGGGGAGTAGTGGAAGAGACCAGGGCTTACCTTTTTCTCTCCCCCTCCAGCCTTCACAACCGTGCACACAATCACAACAGTGGTCAAAGGAGCAGCTGTGTACCAGTCCTGTTAACCCTGTGTCTCCTCCCCCTGCCAGGCTGATTAAGATGTCAAGCCCCTACATGAACAACCTCATCATCCTGGGAGGGATGCTGTCCTACGCATCCATCTTTCTCTTTGGCCTCGATGGGTCCTTTGTCTCTGAGAAGACCTTCGAAACCCTCTGCACAGTAAGTCACTCTGCTCCTTCCAGTGGAACGCAGTCTAAGGTCTTCTTGGTGACCTCAACCATCAGAAACACACGTGCGAACCCAGAAAGGCATGAAAGTACAGGAACAGGCAGAAGACCGTTCGTTCAGCTGTTCACACAATTCAGCAGGGCGGTAGGTTGTTGCTTCCAGAGCAGAATGGACTTATATGCTGCCTGTCAAATTAAGAGTATGGATCTGAGGGCGGGAGGTGGGGACGGCTGGGGCCGGGGGGAGTGGGGGGGGCAGTAATGGAGAGAACTCTACTTGAAGAGCAATTTTTTCAAAAGTTGAAGAATACTTTACCTTCTGTAAGCTAATACGTATTTCACAAGGAAAAAGGGATGGGTTTGACAGGCCGTGCTAGAAGACAGCCCGCTGAGGGATGGCTGGGTAACCTGGGAAAGCAGGGAGAAGAACCACCACCAGGGCCGTTTGAGAAGGAACAGACCTGCCCACTGGCCCCGGGGACCGTCAGGGAATGCAAGGACGGGGGCCTGTGCGGTCACTTCCAGTCCCGTGGAAAAGATCCCAGTCCTTATTCTCTACTTAAGTGGTGTTTCTCAACCATGTGTTCCGATTTCCCCCGCTAAGGAGCCTTTTTAGACTTTCTGTACTAATCATCCCCCGTGAAGATTTAATGCCAAAGACATACGTGCCCTATGCGTGTCTTTATTTCACATGAAAGGATGGTGTTTTTCCACACGCAAGCCCCACTGTTTGGCTCCCTTGAGGACTCTATCACCGCCTCCCCCAATGAAAATGCATGTATTTAAGGAAAGCCCCAAACAGTGTAACTAGTCTATTATACTTTAGAAATATTATTTTGAAAATCGATGACCGTGTTTTAAAGTGTTGCCTGGTTGTTGCTGTCGTTGTAAGGAGTTTGTACGTCAGCAGCTGGAGATGTGTAGCGCTGACTCTCGGTGGAAGGCAGCATCAGCTTGCCTGCTTTTGAAGATGAGGATGACCTGTTGAGATTTATTTCTGGTCTCTGACTACTGTGATCTCTCAGAAACTGGGTTTGCTCTGGCTGCTATAGCTGTTCGTTGGAACAGCATCCCGTGGACCGAAGGGTCGAGGGTTCATTTCCCAGGCCGGACATGTGCCCAGGTTGCAGGTTCAGTCCTTGGTCGGGGCACATACGAGAAGGCAGCTGGTTGATGATTCTCTCTCACATCAGTGTTTCTCTCTCCTCCTTCCCTCACTTTCTCTTTCTCTCCCTCTCGCTCCCTGGCACCCCCTCAAAAGCAATGAGAAAATATTCTTAGGTGAGAATTTTTAAATTTTTTAATTAAAAATAAATTTAAAAAATAACTGGGCCCTGCCCAGTGTGGCTTGGTGGGTTGAGCATCATCCTGCAAAGCGAAGGTCACCAGTGTGAGTCCCAGTCAGGAGACAGACCCGGATTGTGGGTTTGGTCCTTGGTCGGGCATGTACAAGAGGTGACCAATCCACGTTCTCTTTCTCCTTCCCTTATTGTTGAGAGCAATGCAGGCCCCCTTTTTGCAAAGCAGACTCTTTTAGGTTACCTTTCTGCTCTAGAGTGTCAGTGTCGCCCCCTAGAGGATCCCTAATACTCGCTGCAGGTTACCACCCGCCCCGCTGGCCTTTCTGGGCTGCAGCAGTGCGCTGCGCTCTGAGGCAGCAGGTGGAAAGAAGGGAAGCCCCTGGAATCCTATGTCGTACGTGATGATGCCCCTTGTTTTCTGCAGATTCTTAGATGGACTGACTCTTACACGGAGTCAGGAATTGTTAATGTTCCCAGAGACTTCAAGGTGAATTGTTTAGCAGTTGAGATGGAACCTTTCAAACACACTTACTTTGTTCGAAAGTTTCCATTTGAGAAGTGGGGAGGTCGTGTCCCCAATACCCCAGGTGGGTGGTGAGGTCAGGGGGGTACTCAGGCATCCGTCCTCTCTGGGCAGACCAGGGGTTTGAATGGAGGGGGGGGGGCAGTCAAACCCCAAGCATGGCGGGACTCACTCAGTTTTAGCTTCCTGTTCAGAGTTTGTATTCCAAGCCCAGCACTGGTCCCCCTGTTTTATTCTGCCCTTTGGGGATTAAGAAAGAGAATTAGAAGTCACGTCCACCCCACATGCCCAGCATCAGAGTGGCTGGAGTTCAAAGCTGAGCTGTGAATCGGTGGGTCTTTCCTCCAAGAGTGTGACCCCGCGGCATGAGGATAATGACTTCAGTACGTGGAAGTCCTGCTCATTTGAGGGAAGGTGTGAAGCCCATTAAGTCTCCTGCATTTCTGCATCTGCATGATCGCTGTGCCCTGGGGGGCCCTGCACCTTCCCGGGTGCTGTGTGTGTCTGTGGGCAGCTTTCTTGCACTCCGGTGAGGCCCGAGCCAGGGGCTGCTCCTGAGGAAGCTAAGTGAGGAGAACAAGGACTCACTCTCCCCTCTGTGCCCGAGGACACCCTCCCCAAGTGTGAGGAGACCATAGTGAAATTGCTAGTGGGGGCTGGTTAGGGGACTTCTAATCGACACAGTGCTCTGACCCCTTGGTGCACCCCTGAGAGCTGAGGGACCCCCTGAGTCTCCCCACTGAGAACAAGGGCAGCAGGACTCTACCCTGTCCCTGCTGGGGGCCCCAGTGTGCAGCCACCCACTGCCTGCCACCTGGGCACACGCCCGCTGGCCTGAGTTTGGGTGTTTGGTGCAGAGAGACTTGGGGCCCTGCCCTCAGAGGGGCCCTCCCTCCTGGAGAGAAGCTCCTGACTCCCCTCCCTGCTCTCAAGCCCAGGTGCTTTCTGGGGTTTGACCTGAATCCCTCAAACACTGCGTGATGCGGGCTGGAGAGCAAAAAAGGGACGTCCCCCACACCCGGGATTTTTCTTTAATGAAGCCTGACATTCTATTCTGGGAGTTGTGCTCATTTGTGCGAGGGGAAGGCCGTCCTGGGAAGCCTGGCAAGGCGGTATGAATAAACCATAAAGTGCTTCACAACCAGCATTAGCTCCGTACACGAGGGCTCTGGGAGGCTGTGAGGGCCCGGTTCTCCCTGCCCCCGAGGATTCATTTATTTGCAGTCAGGGCTGCTTCAGAGGCTCTGCAGAAGGGAACCCACATTCATGACTGTGGGGAAAAGGCATCCATCGCCAGCGCTGGATTGAATTGGGTCAGCGCAAATGTGCACCGGGGTCACCTTTTAATAATTCCCAGTATTGCCCAGGAAGGAAAACTGAAAGCTCGGGGGTTTAGAGCCCAAACAGTAGGACCCAATGGGTGCAGTCTGGGTTGTGCTCCAGCTGCTATTCGGGGGTCAGCTGCTCTAGTTCACTTGCTGGCTTGGTCTCTCCATTCTCTCCAGACCTAGGAAGCTACCCCAGTAAACTCCTACCAGCAAGGCAAAGGGGTGGAAGCAGGACCACCTGGTTCAGGAGCACAGATCCCAAACAACAGCCGGGTTTCTCTCCCACCTCGTACACTCATCAGCTCTAACTTTGGCAGGTGACTTGGCGTCTCTGAGCCTCGGCGCTGTCATCTGTACAGTGGGCATGATGGATGCAGGGTTGTGGTGTGCGTTAAATGAGATGATTCACACAAGCTGCCTAGAACACAGGGCAGCCTCTGGGAGTGGGGAGTGGGAGAGAAAAGGGGTAGGCATCTCTCCCCTCATCACTGTACAACTTCCAGGGTCTCACCCTGTATCCTGTAGGAAATCTTACAGGACAAAAGACACAGTAGACCCTAAAGCTAGCTTCCAGTGTGGACTATGAGTCACGATTCAGTCGGCTCAGTGTAGAAACTAAACAGGAAGATAAACCGTGAGCATCACCTCAGGAAGAAACCTATGGCAATCACAAGTTGATGTCTCTCTAGGGCCTGTGCCTCGGCTTGGAAGGGCCGTTATAACTCAGACGGGGTGGTGGGTGTTCTGTGAGCGCACACACCCAGCTACCGCTGGGGAAGCAGCTACTCTCAGTTCCCTCCCCCGCTCCGTCTGACCCTTTCCGGAATCTTCTCAGCCTGGTTTCAGCAAGTCTTGCAAATAGCTCCAGATACACCGTGCTGTCTCCCTGGACACTGTGTGGGTAGTGGAATCACCATAGCAACGTGGCCCCTGTGGGCACGGAGCTGCCTGTGAGGACAGTGCTGGGTGTGGGCCAGCACCCAGGCGCCAGCGGGTGGGAAGGCCCTGTCGCAGCTCACACACTGACCTGGCTCAGGAGTCCCAGCCCCTGGCAGCCTGGAGAGGGAGCAAGGAGGGGGGAGAGGAGGAAGAGCACCCACCCTCCTTGTAGAGACTTTGGCAGGAGCCCCAGCAGGAGTGTGGAGGGAGGGGAGGGGCTCTGCAGAGACAAGAAGACTCAGGTGGGTCTTCGATTCCAGCCAGGGAAGATCTCAGCAGCTCCAGGCACCCTCAGAACATTCCCGGTCGTGGAGCGCGTGACTGCCCTGAGCCTGAGCCCTCGAGAAACTCAGTCCTGTCCCTGTGGTTTTCCAAGGCCAGGCGCTGCCGGGTGCAGCCTTTCCTTCGAATCCCCACAACCGCCCGGCCGGACCGGGCTCACCGCCCCCACTTTACAGAAGAGAAAACCGGAGCTCGGTCTCCCACGGCCAAGTGGCAGCACTGAAGTTGGGGCTCCCAAGACATCTGAGGGACTCCAAAGACATCTGAGACGTTTCGTTCATCTTTTTTTCCTCAAGAAATATTTTTATTCTTTTTAAAGCTGGTGTATACCAGAAGAAACAGATCAACTAAATTCTGAGGGTTGTGGTCAGCTCAGATCCCTTGTCCATTCAGATTTTCAAAAATTGAGGTACAATCCACATACCATAAACATTCACCCCCTTAAGGTACGCAGTTCGGAGGCTGTAGTGTCTCCCTAACTGATTTTTTTGATGTATCCCCGGAGCACATCAGTGGCTCACACGTGGGAGAGGTTCAGACTGCTCATGTCCAAGCCCCCACTGCACTGCTTCCCGGCTGTGTGTTTAAGTTGCTTAACATCTCTGAACCTTAGTTTACT